CGCCCCTCAATTTTCTGTTTAAATAAGTTTATTTCCTCTTTATTCAGTATTTTTTACAAAGGCCAGATCTGTGGTCATCTAAAATGTTTTTTCCACATTTTGTGTTATCTACACTTACTACATAATGTTTATAATGTCATTTCTTAGAAAGCACATTAGCTTATAAGGCCTTTGATAGGCTGGTGAGCCTTGAAATCACTGGAAGAGTTGGTAGAGGTGAACTCTTAAAGCACTGGTACCTGGTTTCTAATATTGTTTCTCCTTCCACATGATGAAACACAAAAGTTATCTTGCGGTTATTGTTGCTGGCAAGTCAATTCCCACCTATGACAACCTTAGAATTAAATATTCTGCATAACAGAATAAAACTGTGTTAAATTCTATATCATCTTCATGATCACTGTTATGTTTGAATCTATTGTAGTGGCTTTTATGTCAATCCATCCAATTGAGAGTTCCCTTCATTTTCATTAGCCTTTTATCAAACACGATGCCCATTTCTAGCAATTGTTTGCTGATAAGGTGCCCGAAAAAAACCCAAATGTTCACCATCCTTGCTTCTGAGGCGCATTCTGTCTGTATTTCTTCTAAACTGACTTGTTTGTTCTTCTGGAATTTCAAGGGATAGTTGGTATTCATAAACACCAAAACCCAAGTGCATCCAGTCTTCGACTGTTTTCTGTTTTCATTGCATATAAAGTAACTAAAAGTATCACGGCTTGGATACACCTGCGTCATCAAAGTGACATCTTTGCTTCTTTAAAACTTAAAGGCTTATTTGGCAGCAGATTTCTCAGCTGCAGTCGCTTATTTGACTTCATGACTGCTGCTTCCATGGGCATTGATTGTTGATTCAATTAGAATGTTTTTATCCTCTTATCATCAGATTATCAGTCCAGTTGTGAAGAGTTTTGTTTTATTCATATTTAGATTTAATCCATACTAAATGCAATAGGCTTTGACCTTCTTCAGTAAGAGATCATTTGCCAGTGGGTGAAAAGTCTTGTGGATCCAGCGGCAGTGGAAGCATCTCAGCACTGGCTCCTCCAGCTCTCTAAGTGTGGCTCCTCAACAGGGAGGTAAAGCAGAGAGAGAAAGTTCCCAGAATTCTCATGAGAAGGACATGCCCACAAGGAGGTATCTTCAGGCTGTGACCTCACTGACAGGCTAGACTCCACCCCTTCACTCTCAATATCTTCAAATTGAGACACAAGATTATGTTCATTACCAAAGCAAGTAAATGTGCGCTTTTGAGTATCACACCTGATTTTAAAGACTATCTAAGAGGTAGTATTATAATGAAATTTGTAAAGACCTAAAATTAGAATGCAAAATGGAAAAACAAAACTGGCTTGTCTCAAGCTAAAAAGACTGAAGAGAAAAAAGTCAAGCATTGAGTTGCATTACTGAAGGATTCTGTGGGGAAATATATATCTATAACAAACACATGCAAAGCTGGAAGCACTCACTTGACTATGCTAGGAAATTTGGGAGATTGATATCTAGCCAACTGACTAGAAGAGATTCATATCTGTGCCTCTCTTATATACTATAGCTATAACAAATATGTCACAAATGGTGGCTTTAGTGAACAGATTATTCTCTCACAATGTAGGCAGCTAGAACACTATCTTATGGACACTAGCTCTAGAAGAAGGCTCTCTCTCAATGATAGCTAGAGGGAATGCCCTACTCACATTTTTACTCACTGACATGAGTCAATACTGACTCGTAGCGACCTCCTGTAGGTTTCTGAGATAATATCTGTTTACCAGAGTAGAAAGCCCAGTCTTCCTTCTGTGGAGCTGCTGGTGGTTTTGAACTGCTTATCGCAGATCACAGTCCATTTGTAGCCACTACCCCATCAAGCCTTCTCAGAAATGTCCTAATCTTCAAAATCTGTATGTCCAGTATCCCTTGGAAATTTCTGTGTATTGACATTAATGTTTCTCTGGGACTAAATGGGTCTCGATGCGGGGACCTGGATCCAAAGGACGAAATCCACCCCATTTTATCTTTCTTGATGGTAGAAAAGTCACTAGCTCTCGGCTCACTAATTTAATCTTTATATCTCAAAAAGTCTCAAAAATATTTACTTAAAATACAACCTAATTCTGTAGACTGTCTCCTCCTCATTAATATACTGCTTCTAGCCCTAGCTGATTAACACCATATGAATTAAAATTCACAGCAGGTAGGAAAACCAGAATGGAAGAACACTCTCATCAACTGAAAGAACTCAAGGAAAATTTCAAACCTCAAGTTGCAATATTGAAATATTGTATGGGAAAAATATTGAATGATGCAGGAAGCATCAAAAGAAGATGGAAAGAATACACAAAAAGAACTAGTCAATATTCAACCATTTTAGGAGGTAGCATATGAGCAATGTGATTGGAGGAAATTTTTCAAGTGTCCAAAAACAAGGCTCCAAGAATTGATGGAATACCATTAAAATATTTCAACAAGCTGATGAAGCACTGGAAGCACTCACTCATTTAGGCCAGGAAATTTGAAAGACAAATACTGGCCAACTGACCAGAAGTGATGTATATTTGTACCTCTTCAAAAAAAAAAAAGATGATTTGTAGAATGTCCAAATTGTAAAACAACATCATTAATATCACATGTAAGTAAAATTTTGCTGAAGATCATCTAATAATCATTGGAGCAATACAATGATAGGGCGCTTCCAGAGGTTCAGGCAAAATTTTGAAGAAGACATGGAACAACAATTGTCATTGCTGATGTCAAATGTATCTTGACTCAGAGCAGAGAATACCAGAAAGATATTTACTTGTATTTTATTTACTGTGCCAAGCATTCAATGATGTGATTCATAACAAACTATGAATAGCCTTGAGAAGTATGGGAATTCCAGACCACTTAATTGTACTCATACAGAACTTGTACCTGGATCAAAAGCAAAATGAAATCCTTGACATCTTTAATCTATTCTCCATTTATCATGCTATTGCCTAATTGTCCAATGTGAACATTTTAGTCTTCTTTGCATTGGGGTTGTAATCAATACTGAAGGTTTCAATCCTTGATCTTCATTTAGCAATTGCTTCAAGTCTTCTTCATTTTCAGCAAGCAAGTTTGTGTCATCTGCATATTGAAGTTGGTAAATAAGTCTTCCTCCAATCCTGGTGAGGGATCCTTTTTCATATAACCCAGCTTCTGTAATAATTTGCTCAGCACACAGATTGAGTAAGCATGGTAAGAGGATACAACCCTGATGCACACCTTTCCTGATTTTAACTCTCCTTCCGATGTTTTGCTGCCCTTCTATTTTAGTGAGTGTCCTTTTCCAGGGACTGCTCTGTCTTGATGATATGGGCATAAGATCAAGCCTCACACACTGCTTTCTAAGGACTGTGCTGGCTGCACTTCCTCCAGGACATATTTGTTTATTCTCCTAGTAGTCGGTAATACTTTCAATATTCTTTGTCAACACCATAATTCAAATGCAATTCTTCTCATCTTTCTGATTCACTGTCCCATTTCCACATGCATATAAAGCTATTGAAAATGTCTTGGCTTGAGTCAGGTGCACTCCATTCCTCAAGTCACATGTTTCCTTTGAAATACTATAAAGAATTATTTTGCTGCGTATTTACCCAGTTCAGTTCCTCCTGATAACATGTCAAAAGCAAATGAGAGGAAGTCTCACCATCCTTGCTTCTGAGGAGCATTCTAGCTGTACTTCCGAGATATTTATTTTTATTATTCTGGCTGTCTACAGTACTGTCAACATTTTTCATCAACACCAAAATTCAAATGCACGAAATCTTCTGCAATCCTCAGGGAAAAGGAGACCCTCAACAAGATGAGTGGACACAGACAGTGGCTACAAGAGAGGGCTGACGCATAACTGTGCTTTTGAGAATGGCACAAAATGGATTGCTCTGAGTAGGCACCGACTTGACAGCCCCTAACAATGACAACAATCATAATCCATCCTACCCTGTGTTAAAAACCCATTTTGATTTACTAAATTCCACTTTTCCCTTCCTTTCAGAAACCCAAACTTGCAGGTGAAGTTTCTTTTCATACTATTGTTTTGGAGTTTACTGGTACTTCCTCCATTAATTACAGAATCAATATTTGAAAATAGATGAGTAGAAAAGTTAAAAATCATTTCACAAAGGCTGTATCATCCCTAATATCTCTTTATTGATGGTTTAAGACAGTGGTGTCTTATTGAAAAACCAGTAACACTTAATAGATATTGTTTCACTGAGTCTGAATCAAATTGATGACACATTTGCTTACTATATTTTTCCTATCCTTTAATTTTTAATTTGTTTATGTCTTTGGGTTGGAGATGTTTATCTGATCGGCAACATACTGATGAAATATTTTTTTAATTTTGTTTCCTTTTGTTTTAAATCCATTCTGCCATTCTCTGTCTTGTGAATGATGCACTTAACCCATTTATATTCAATGTGATTAACAATAAGTATGAATTTGTTGCTGTCATTTTTTGGGTGTGTGTCAACTATTTCTTTGTTATTCTTAATATTCTATGCTGAACTATTTTTTATATATGTTTATATATCTTATATATAAACATCAGCCCTTGATGTTTTTGTGTTTCCTGAATCTTTCTGGTTTTCTTGTCTATTTTAGTGAGTAGAATTATTTTTCTCTGTGGTTACCAGATATTTACCTTAATCCTCTAAAAGTTAAAAAGCAACAGTCTGTTATATCTTGAAATCACCTTGACTTTCTCCCTATATAGAAGTTCAATCGCTGTGTATTTTGTTCCTCCATTTTGTTTTAAATTTGCT